TATATATATATATATATATATATATATATATATATATATATATATATACACGGATTTTTATTAAGTTTTCATCTTTAAAAGGCTTAGTTTTTTTCTTTACCACATGAAACCCAAAATATGTTTAGAATGATCATTGTTCTTCTTTAGGTTAATGGACATACTAGGTACTGAATATTTATCTGCTTAAGTTGGAAGAGTAGATCCATCAACATACATAAGTTACAATTATTGATGTGGTACTAGCCCACTTGGTAGAGGGTTTGCATCTGAGATTGAAGACCCGAAATTTTAATTCAGGCGTTAGCGAATTCTATTAACTTGGTGATATTAAGTTTAACCACTAATCGACCATTAAAAAAACATAAATTACAAATTTTGGATGGATATTGCATATAAACCTATAAGTTTAAACACATTATTTGAACATTCCCATTATATTATATAATTTATCTGAAAACTTACAGTTTCAGAGAGGTTTTTCGGTCCAAAATCAAAGCTTTTTCAGTCTAAGTTTGGCTATATTAAATAATAACATATAATAATCGCACTCAACAAGAAATTGTCATGTATGCATTTTGCAAAAAATTACTCTAAAATAAAAAAAAAATATCATGATGAACTTTCTTTAAACAATTTTGTTTTTTTCTAAAAAAAGTTTTACAAATCCAAAGCCCATGGTAGAAGTAGAATACACAAAATTAAGGGAATAACATAAAGTGAGACAACATGCTTTAAGGAGTTGTAACTTGACGCATCACATCTGTACACGTACATGCATTGTTCTCCACGGGATTTTCTTTACAAACAAGACACCGATAACTCGGGAAGCACGTGTTTCCTTAACAAAGAAAAGGTCACCCTCCAACCTTCTTCCTCTGATCCTCTCCCTCAAACGCCACCATAGTTTTCAATTGAATCGAGCTTTGACGACAACAATCATATACGGTGGTGAACGCATCTAGAATTCAAATTTCATTCTGATGACCCTTAGCGGTCGAATCACAGGGTGTATCTGTAGAAAATGCTCGTGATTCAGCTCCTGCGAAAATTAAGTTTGATCCCTAATCGAGCATATCTCTCTTCTCTAATTCTTCTTCTTCTTCTTTTTTTTTCTATCTCAAATTCCTTATATGCTTGCATATTGTTAGGGTTTCGGTTTGTTCTCTCCGTTCATTGAATGAGTTACCGATGTAATTTCACATGTATATTTATTGTAAGCATCTGCGGGGGAAAATTGTGCGATAAGTGTTTAGGCTTAACACTTGGGAGAGTTTGATATTGAGAATTGAAAGGTTTTGGGAAGGATTTGTTAACCTTGAAACATCAATCAATATAACTATAGAGTTGTTTACCGTTTCAACCATCATACCTGCCTTTTCGCAACCAACAAAATCCTTTTTGTTTGAAAATGCATAACATAGTTTACAAAATATAGTAAATTAGGACAAAAATTGCCGATTATGATTGGTTATTTTGATTGAGATATGCACAATCTGTTAACTATTGGTTCTTTTTGATTCATATATGCAAAATCTGTTAAACCTCCTTGCAGTATATAGTGTTTTATAGCATTTTCACAAGTATTGTAGTTAGGCAGTGCTTGATAAAAAGCCAAGTATGATGTTTAGAAAGTTTATCACTCTATAGTAATATAATGTAGTAACTATTTTAACTCTTAAGCCTATAAAACTATCAGATGATTACATTGAATGGGTTTTCATTCTGCAAATCCATGGCTCTTTCTTTTAATATTGTTCTTTATTTATCCAGTATTGGTAAAATCGACTAGATCATTGTAAATACAGGTTCTTGGTGATAAAAATATTAAAAGAACAACATAATTAATCCTAAAAAGCAACCGAGGAATTCATTCAGAAGATGAAAATCATGGTTCAATCATTAAATCTGGTTTTCACAACTTCAAGCACAGAATGTATTCTCATAACATTCTCTCTAATAGAGGGTTTGCTTCCACCAAGAACACTTTCTCCCGAAACTATTCCATTATCCCATCCAATAACACTATAACACATCATGCCCAAATCGCATGGAAAAGGCTTTCCAAGAATTCATATCAAGATTCACAAATTTCCTCCATAAACAAAATCGCTCAAGCATTTACCTTGGCATTAACCTGTTCATACATTGTTCTTCCTGGAATATTCGCCTTAAATATTGATAAAGGGTCATCAAATATTGATCAACTTCATCCAAGAAACACCCTTTACACACATGCTGAAAACGGACATGCAATTTTGATTTCATCTCTACTTTCAGTCTTCGAAGTATTGCACAGATCCATAGAGCATTTGGGCGTAAAATTTCTGAAATTTTTGATGATTTTGAGGAAATCCCAGTTGCATCAGGAAGTATTGCACAGATCCATAGAGCTTCTTTAAAGTATAAATACCAGAAGAAACGTATCAAGCCTTTGTTAGTTGCAGTTAAAGTAAGACATATAGGGGTTGGTGAATCAATTAGAAGAGATTTTGATATTATAAATGTGGTTGCAAAGATGTCAAAGTTTATTCCAACTCTTAATTGGTTGAGATTGGATGAAAGTGTTCAACAGTTTGTTGTTTTTATGATGCCACAAGTTGATCTTGCAAGGGAAGCTGCTCATCTGAGTAGATTTATATATAATTTTAGGAGTTGGAAAGATGTTTCTTTTCCAAAACCTGTGTATCCACTTGTTCATCATGCTGTTTTGGTGGAAACTTTTGAACATGGAGAACGTGTGTCTCGTTATGTTGATGATCTTGAAGGACATGTTAGGCTTAAGAGTTCTCTTGCTCATAGTGGGACTCATGCAGTTTTGAAAATGCTTCTGGTAATATCTTTAATCTCTTTGAGTTATGATAAATATTTATTGTATTTTGTTGCTTTCTTTTAATGATGTATTGTAGTAGCATTCTATTGCCATTTCTTTCTTTTATAGCTGCAAAAGCTACTTTGTGTTTGGATGACATTGTCATAATTGGTTAGATTTTGTAAAAGGACAAAATAAAAGTAGGATGCTATCATAAACAAATCCATGAAATTACGTTGCTATTTCTTACATTTAATTCAATATGATTATCACTTTAAATTGGATGTTTATTAGGTTTTCGTAAGATTGATGGAGTATTTGTGGTGAAAATGGCAAAAAAAAACACTATGAAGTTTGTGTTGTATTATTTTGGGTTAAATGCAAGAAACAACAATATACTTTCTTAGATTTGTTTATTAGCACCCTATTTCCCATTTTCCTATTACAAGATTGTATTTTGAAAAATATACTTGATTATAGCAACATCATTTGGATACAAATCAATTATCTCCTTTATAATAAGAAAAAAGTTAAAAAAAAAAAAACACAACTACAATTGTATAGATTTTCCAAAGTACAATGCTATTTCTTGCATTTAATAGAATGAAATAGAAGTAGGATGCTAGTTATATGAAAGTAAATTGCTATTTCTTGCATTTAAATCTATTACTCTTCATCAACAATCATTAGCTTCTTGAAGTAGGACACAAGGACTCACTATCCTTTTATTGTATGTTGAAAAGACATAAATGCCCTTCTCATTCCAATCCAGTCTCGTGTAACAAATGCAGCCTCAAGAAACATAGAAAATTGAAAAAAAATGTTTATTATTCTAAAGTACAAATAAAAAATAAGAATGGGGAAGTAGGTTTTTATTTTTTGCAATTAACCCAAGAAGAAATTTATTTATTTATTTTGTGTGTGTGTGTGTAGGTTGATAACTTCATTCATGCTGACATGCATCCTGGAAACATCCTTGTACGAAGCAAATCATCAAGAAAAGGGATATTCAAATCAAAGCCTCATGTCATATTCCTTGATGTAGGTATGACTGCTGAGCTGTCAAAGAGTGATCAAGTCAATTTATTGGAATTTTTTAAAGCTCTTGCTTGTAGAGATGGACGCATTGCAGCCGAATGCACATTGAAGCTTTCAATACAACAAAACTTTCCTGATCCACAGGCCTTCATCAAGGTAAAAAAAATTCACATGTAACATGTTTTTGTGAAATGCTTACAAATCTTAAATATCATATTCTTATTATAGAGTAAATTACTGAAATCGTCCCTATGGTTTGGTCAAAATTACACGTTTGGTCCCTACCTTTTCTTTTGCACTCAGATCGTCCCTATAGTTTGATTTTGTTGTGTTTTTTGTCCCTTACATGCATAAAGTTAGGAACCAAACGCACAATTTTTACCAAACAATAGGGACGAAAAACGCAACAAAATCAAACCCCAGAGACGATCCGAGTGGAAAAAAAATTTTAGGGACCGAACATGTAATTTTAACCAAACCGTAGGGACGATTTCAATAATTTACTCTTCTTATTATTAGGAAATGAATAACTATAACGTGTAATCAATAAAGTACAATTTTTTGAGTTTCAAGCTACATATTACTATTATTGGCTTATGAATAGTACCTTTTTCCTAGTTTTGGAGTTTTGCTACAAAGGTTTTTTGTTTTAAAGTTTTGACATAAAGGTTTTGGACTTTGGCACATTTAGTCCCTGTAATTTTGTAATGTACAGAAAAGGTCCCTGTGAGGTTTTTCTTTTACAGAAACAATCCCTATATTTAATATTTTTGTATGTCCTAGTAGTTTACAGAAAAGGTCCTTGTGCATTATTTTTTTATAGAAACGGTCCACATATTAAAAAAAAGAGTAAATTACACCAATAGTCCCTACGGTTTAGGGTAATTTGCGCGTTTGGTCCCTAACTTATTTTTTTAAACTCAGAAGGTCCCTAATGTGACAACCCGAAAATTTTTTGCTTTGAAAGCTCAGTCAGTCAACTCCACTGAGTGTCAGACTCATTGGTAATGAGTTCTAGCCTGATTAAAGGTCATTCTAAGGAGTTTTAAGCCTAAAACACTCAAGGAATGAGTGTTAGGAAGTACATGCTAGAACCACAGTATAGCACGCAAGCCTTAAACTCCATCAAGAGGAGTTTACGGCCAAGTTACCAAGAGTTTACGGCCGTAAACTCAAGGT